TCACCAGCGGCGGCGATGCGCAAGGTGGGGCCCGGCGGGAGGAGGGTGGGGAGCTCGGCGCCTGTCCCGCCCCGTGGGGGCTGCGTGTCCGTGTCCGCCCGGCCCCGCGGGCTTGGCGGGACCAGAGTCCGCGGGGCCGCGGGGACGCGGCCCACGCTTCTCCCCGGGCGCCCGGGGCGGGGGAGCGGAGAGGGGAGACACCCCCCTCCCCTGTTTCCCCCACGGGGGAAGGGGCGGTGCGTCCCACCCGCTGTGCTTCCCCGTCCCCATCACCCCCGGAGCACCCTCGGTGGGAGGTCACGGGCCCCACGGGGGAATCCCCACGGTGGGACCCCTCCGACCCAGGGGTAAGCAGCTATTTCTAATACATCTCGCTCTCGGGTGGTTGCTCATCTGCAGCTCCCACCCGTGCACTGAGTTTCCCCAGTCTGTGCCTGCGTGGGCCCCCCCGGCTCAAGGGGATGATGCTTCAGGGTCACCTATAGGATCTGGTCCCCTATGGGGCACCCACCCTGCGCGGGGTCCCTCGGAGCTGCCCCGGCTCACATCTCGCCTTTCCAGGGATGAACGCCGCCGTCCGTGCCGTCACCCGGATGGGGATATACGTGGGAGCCAAGGTCTTCCTCATCTATGAGGTTGGGGTACCACCCTGCTCCCCGCCGTGGGGTGGGGGGAACCACCCCCCCTGTGCCAGGGTACCCCTCATCTCTGCCCCCTCACTTCTCTGCAGGGCTATGAGGGGCTGGTGGAGGGGGGAGACAACATCAAGCAAGCCAACTGGCTCAGCGTCTCCAACATCATCCAGCTGGTGAGGCTCACCAGTGGGGCCATGGGACCTCCAAATCCCACCCCCCAAACCTGCATGACGAGCCCTGTCCCCCCCTTATCTCTCCAGGGTGGGACGGTGATCGGCAGTGCCCGTTGCAAAGCCTTCACCACCCGTGCGGGCCGGCTGCGGGCCGCCTGTAACCTGGTAGAGCACGGCATCACCAATCTCTGCGTCATCGGCGGGGACGGCAGCCTGACGGGCGCTGACATCTTCCGCTCCGAGTGGGGCGGGCTGCTGGAGGAGCTGGTCCAGGACGGTGCGTGAACCCCCTTCCCCAAAATCCCTGGGTGGGTAGAGTGAAAGCATTCAAGGGGCGTTGAGGTCCAGAGGTCCACCCCATCACTATGATGCCCAGGGAGGGCTGGGTTCCTCCGCTGCTCTGTAGGAGCCGGCCCAATGCCAGGGGGGGATGGGAGCACCCTAAAATAACCGGTGGCGTGGCCATCCCCCCTGCAGGGCAGATCAGCAAGGAGGTGGCACAGGAGAACTGTCGCCTGAACATCGTGGGGCTGGTGGGCTCCATCGACAACGACTTCTGCGGCACCGACATGACCATCGGCACTGACTCAGCACTGCACCGCATCATGGAGGTGATTGACGCCATCACCACCACGGCACAGAGGTGAGCAGGGTGGGTGCTGGGTGCTGGCCCACCCCGGGGCATCACACCCACCCTCCTCCTCCCACACATGTCCTTGCAGCCACCAGCGGACATTCGTGCTGGAGGTGATGGGCCGCCACTGCGGGTAAGCCCCCGTGGATGGAGAAGCTCGTCGGCAGGATGGGATGCCACGTTTCAGGGCTGGTGCCAGTGCTGCCACCGCTGTGTCCCCCCAGGTACCTGGCGCTGGTGTCCGGCTTGGCCTCAGGCGCCGACTGGCTCTTCATCCCTGAATCCCCTCCGGAGGACGGCTGGGAGGACCTCATGTGCGAGAGGCTCGGGGAGGTGAGGGGGGGGGTTCCTACAGTCCCGTCCCCCTTCTCTCCCCAGAGAGTCCCCGCAGGGATCCGGGCTGAGCCCCACGGCTGGCACCCGGCCCCTGCGAAGCTTCGGGAGCTCCTGCCATTGTCCCTGTGAAACGGGGCACTCAGCCGAGCGCAAATCCAGCCCTCACGTGCCAGGGGCAGTGCTGGCTCGGGGGCTCAGCCGCCCAGAACCTGAGCCACCCCCCCAGGCTATGGCCAGTGGGGGCAAAGGATGCTTGGGCTCAGCCACCAGCAAATTTTGGCTAAGCCGCAGTGGCTGTTTTCCTCCCCTCACGCCAGACGCGCAGCAGAGGGTCACGGCTCAACATCATCATCATCGCTGAGGGTGCCATCGACCGCAGTGGCAAACCCATCTCCTCCAACTACGTGAAGGATGTAAGTGCCTGCTCCGGTGCCCGCTCCGGCACCCGCTCCGGCACCCATGGTGGCTGGCGGGTCCCCGACGTGACATCCTCTCTGCTCCACAGCTGGTGGTGCAACGCTTGGGCTTTGACACGCGTGTCACCGTCCTCGGCCATGTGCAGCGCGGAGGGACCCCGTCAGCCTTTGACCGCGTGCTGGTAGGTCTGGGGGGGAAACACGGAGGGGGGGTCACCCTGCAGGAGCAGGCAGCTGGGGAACCCCGCTCCTGCCTTCCCTCTGCCTGTTGCAAAGGACTTGCCAGCTGGGATAAGGCTCAGACAGTCCCCGTGGGCTCGGCCCCGCTGTGCCAGGCGATGTGCCCATTTCCTCTCCTTTGCTGCAAATTTCATGGGTTTTTAAATAAAACCAGCAGCTCTCTGGCTGTAACTCAGGCGTGCAAGCAGCCGCGTGGTTTCCAAGCCCGTGGAAGCATCCCCATGCGAGCCCAGGGGAGCATCCCACATGGCTGGCACGGGTGGCCCCAGTGTCAGGAGGCAGCGGGTGCCCCTTTCCCTTTGCAGAGCAGCAAGATGGGGATGGAGGCGGTGATGGCGCTGCTGGAGGCCACGCCGGACACCCCCGCCTGCGTGGTGAGCCTCTCAGGGAACCAGTCAGTGCGGCTGCCACTCATGGAGTGCGTCCAGGTGGTGAGTACAGGGGGGGATCAGGCACACCAGCCCGCTGGGTGGGGGTCCCGCTCCTCTCCCCGCAAGCGCAGGCATCATGGTGCTGCATCTTTTCCCCCTCCAAGACAAAGGATGTGCAGAAGGCCATGGATGAGAAGAGGTTTGAGGAGGCCATCCAGCTCCGTGGGAGGTGAGGAGTGGGGACCAGGATGGGGGGAGACATCCCTATGGGGTGGCCAAAAGGACATGCTGGGATGGGGGCTTCTCCCCAGGGGAAAACCACCGGCTCCTGCAGCCAGGGAGGGTGCCCCCCACCAAGCGCCCCAGGGTCCAGGCACACCTCGGGGCCACGCTGCCTTGTCCTTGCAGGAGCTTTGAGAACAACTGGAACATCTACAAGCTGCTGGCGCACCAGAAGCCGGCACAGGAGAAGGTGAGGAGGGATGGGGAGCGGCAGGGGACACCGCCCTGCCTTGGGGACATGCACCGATGTGCCACCCCTGTCCCCACAGAGCCCCTTCAGCCTGGCCATCCTGAACGTGGGTGCCCCTGCCGCCGGCATGAACGCCGCCGTCAGGTCGGCCGTGCGAATCGGCATCTGCCAGGGACACACTGTCTATGTGGTGAGCGACGGCTTCGAGGGCTTGTCCAAGGGGCAGGTAAGGGGGATGGTGAGCCTGGGTGCCGTGCATTTCCCAGGGGGATGGGTTTGGGCTTGGAGGGGGTGGTGGGGTGCTCCCCCCACCCCAAAACTGAGCACTGCTGCTTGCAGATCCGTGAAGTGGGCTGGCACGATGTGGCAGGCTGGCTGGGACGCGGCGGGTCCATGCTGGGCACCAAGCGGTAAGCACAGCCCCAGGGGGGCCGGGGTATGTAGCAGAGGGGACACCGCTGTCCCCGGGGATTGCAGGGAACCCCTGTCCTCACCCCACGGTCTCTCCTCCCCTTCCCCACCGCAGGACGCTGCCCAAGACCTGCATGGAAAAGATTGTGGAGAACGTGCGGAAATTCAACATCCAGGGGCTGCTGGTCATTGGGGGGTTCGAGGTGCGGGGGAAATCCTCAGCCCTGTTTTGGTGGGGTTGGGGCGGGCTGTCAGCATCCCAGGTGGTGCAGGCACCCTGGGCCATCCCTTTTGGGATGCAGATCCAGCCCCGGGGCTGGCATCTCCCCAGCCCTCGGCTGCTTGCAGGCGTACGAGGGGGTGCTGCAGCTGGTGGAGGCCCGCGGGCAGTACGAGGAGCTCTGCATCATCATGTGTGTCATCCCCGCCACCATCAGCAACAATGTGCCCGGGACTGACTTCAGCCTGGGCTCGGACACGGCTGTCAACGCGGCCATGGAGGTGAGGGACAGGGCA